ATTATTAAAAATTTAAGTAAGTTTTAAATAAAATAAAATACAGTCGTGGAAAAAAGTATGGAAGCGCTAGAAAAAGTTTTTTAAATTCTTAATTTTTTATTCAAAAAATACGATCTATATACCAATCGAAAGCTCTATTCGTATCTCAGTTGACATGTTTCTGCATTTTTCATGAAAATGAAAATTGGCCGAGATAATCCGGATCTGCCGGATATACCAAATCCCATTTTTTCTGAAAAATTTTTCGGAAGAAATTTAACAAACCCATTTGATAAAGCATATTTTTCTGAGTATTTTCCACAAAACCGCTTAGAAATATCTTTTTCCGGAACAGAGATATGATTTTTTAAAAATCGCATTTTTGGTCATTTTTTGCAAAAAATTCGATTTTTAAGGGAAAAATGCGATTTTTAAAAAATCATATCTCTGTTCCGGAAAAAGATATTTCTAAGCGGTTTTGTGGAAAATACTCACAAAAAGATGCTTTATCATTTGGGTTTGTTAAATTTGTTCCAAAAAAATTTTCCGAAAAAATGGGATTTGGTATATCCGGCAGATCCGGATTATCCCGGCCAATTTTCATTTTCATGAAAAATGCAGAAACATGTCAACTGAGATACGAATAGAGCTTTCGATTGCTATATAGAACGTATTTTTTGAATAAAAAATTAAGAATTTAAAAAACTTTTTCTAGCGCTTCCATACTTTTTTCCACGACTGTAAAATTAAATAATAAAAATAAATTTATACCCACTTTTGTAGTTTAATTAATTAAATTTATATGTCTGATTAACAGGTTTTTCTATTTCTAAAAAAACTTTTTTAGAATAAAAAAATTTGCTAAAATTAAAAATGCAAGCCAAAATGAGCCTCCAAAAGCCAAAAATTCCGAATATAGCTTACAAGGATTTATTTGAATTTGTGAAGACGGCTTAACAAATATATACCTAATATAATTTTGCTGACGTAAATGACTGGAAATTATTTTAAATATTTATTTAATTATTTTATTTAATATATTTAAAAAAAATTAAAACACATTTGGTTCTATCCTCCAATAGAACTCCGTCCTCTCGTAGGGTATTGACTTAAATTAGTGAGGGTGCTTTTATTTTTCGATGTTTTTATTTTCTATTTTCTTCAGTCTTCACACTCAAAATTTCCATAAGTTCCAATTAATTTGTTCCAAAATTCAAACTGATCAATTTGCTTGATCCGTATGAAGAGACTTTTTAAACTTTTTTCCTGGTAGTGTGTTCGAGTGTGGTCCTATTAGAGAAACGGTATTTCTCTTTTAACGTTTAAGTTATTTTTGAAAGCTTGAATTAAATCCTCTATCAACGTTAAAAATTCAAATGTTTTTAACAAAATATACAAGCAAATTTTCAAGTGCTTAAAGAATTTTTATTTCCAAAAGGGCGCGTAACGGCGCAAAGCCATAACTTTCTGTAATATTTTTGGCCCTTGTCATTTTTGTTATTAATCTCTTTAGCTCGATACGAGGAATCGTTTAATATTAATTCTTGTAGGGTCCGAAAAACTAGAGTTGGCCGGGATCGGGATCCCGGTCGGGATCGGGCGGGATTATCCCGGGTTTTTCAAATCCCGATCCCGATTTTTCTGATCCCGGTCCCGAAATATATATCCCGATCCCGATCCCGGCCATTTTTAATCCCGAGCCGGGATCCGGGATCGGGATCGGGATGTGCATCAGATCCCGATGCAAATCCCGATTTTATAAATTGACTAGAAGTTTGTGGAAATAAAGTTAACAGAAGAGAGGAGGCATGAAATTAAGAAAAATTTTCGCCTGCGGCGCAGAAAATGGAAGAAATTTGGCATCCTGACCAGACCTGGGCGAAACTCCAAATTTTTTTCGGACGAAACGAAACGAAACAAAAATTTTTAAAAATCGTTTCGTTAACAAAACGAAACGAAACAGTCAAAATTTAACGAAACGAAACGAAACAAAACGAAACATTTTAATTTCGAAAAAAATCTCAAAAATCTGGATTATTTTATTAACTACACAATTTTAAGCATGTTAATTGGCCAATGAAGACATATAAGTGATCGTAAAATTATGTGGACCATAAATTGTGGTCCCATTATCCAATTTTTCTCTTAATCTCACCTAAATCTAGAGTTCAGCAGTATCGGGATTTATAGAAAAACCGGGATCTGGATTTTGGAATGGTGATACCTTTCCCGACACGGGATCGTGATTGGTCTAAATTGTCGCATTACTGAATGAGTAATTGACGACAAAACTTTTGGATTATTAAGCCAAGGTCCTTCCCTCCAAAATATGCAAAAAGATTAATCATCGGATACTCCCGGTACGGGCTCTAAAGATAATTAAAAAGGGGGTCAACTCTGTACCCCTCATTAGCTCCGTTAATCCCACTTATCGACTGATTAAACTTGTAAAGAGATCTAAGCAAAAAATGATGTTGATCAAAAGTTTGTATGCCGCCTTCAGGGTCAATAGGTCATCAGTGTGTAGGTACGGGGGGGGGGGGTCCTTTCTCATCGTCTCAGGCGAAAATTGGTCCTTAAGCTTAAGGAGGTCCTTAAGGAGTTCCTTTGGAGGTCCTTAAGCCATATTTCTTCCAGATAATTTTGAAAATTTTTAAGGCCAAGAAGCCAGATTTCTTCCATTTTTTGCGCCGCAGGCGAAAATTTTGAGAATTTTTAAGGCTAAGAAGTCAGATTTCTTCCTTTTTAAGCGCCGCAGGCGAAAATTTTTTGAATTTTTATCACCAAAGAGGAAATTTTTTTAGTTTTGGGTAATATTTTGGCTTAAAAAATAGGTAATGTTTCGTTAACGAAACACAGGTGTTTCGTTAACAAAACGAAACGAAACAAATTAAAAAGTGTTTCGTCACGAAACGAGACGAAACAGGAAAAAACATAACGAAACTAACGAAACAACGAAACGAAACGAAACGTTTCGCCCACGTCTGATCCTGACATCCAAAATTCTCAAAATTTTCGCCTGCGGCGCAGACGAAAATTTTGGGTATCCCATATTTTGAGGAAAAAATGATTGGCATTAAAAAAAGGAGGGAAAATAAATGATTGGCAGGTGTTATGTATCGACTTGCGGTGTGTCCGATACTAACAGAAAGACTAAAGTCTAACTGCTAACTAACAAGGTTTATCACAAAGGTAACAATACAATAGAAAACGACGAGACTATGCGCTGGAGTAGAATGTAGCTTTGACTACGGACTAAGACTAACTGGCGACTAAGGACTGACTCAAGACTCACAAGACTAACACACGACTACAAAAGGCTGCGCCTTTTATACTAAGCGCGCCACCCTAACAGCAGGTAAGAAGCAAAATTAATGTGAGACTCAAGTAGGGTTGGGAGGCGGGATATTAATAAAGAACCGGTCTAGTTTAGTAGTCCATTCAAAGTTTATAAGTCCAATCTTAAGTTTATGAGCCCCAACAATAATATTAATTAACCAGGGCTGGGTATAGAGTAATTTGTGAAGCTATGGAGCAATTGTTTAAATAAATTTTTAGAAAGCCTGGAGTATTCAAAACTAGTGATAGTTACCCCTGCCCCATTAATATTAATAAATTAAATGTTTTTTGACAAAATATTCAAATATCTTCCATACAAATATTAAAAAATTTTATTTCCTGAGTATTTTCATTTAAGAAATATAAATCAACGGATAAAAATTAATTGAAGATCAATTTTAAAAATTCTTTTTTTTTAATTTAAATATTGTGTTTCAAAGTATTGTAACAGAAAGGCTTATTTTCGAGATCATTTCCAAAATTAATTTCAATAGAACAAGAAAGCAATTCAAAAAATGGACGTAAATTATCGTCTTCTCCGTCTAGTGAGAATTTTCCACCTAAAATTTTTAAAAAATTAAGAGACATTATATTAGTATAGATGCTTAGTATAAAGCTGTCGGTAATTAATAAATTGGGTATGTAAGTCAAGTATAGGTCGGCAAAAGTCTTCCATACAAAGTTAAGTTGTTTGGCACCTAGGCCGACCGTCGCCGCCTGCCCTTAGTTATTCTTGCCTATTGCGACCTCGTTATTCTTGTATTTACTAGTGTGATAAAAATTAGGGTTGGGCCCCGAATCCGAGGGCACGTTTTTCGGGGAGCTTTGGAGGATGACTGACAGAATAACACTCACAATTTATTGTTAGTCATCCTCCAGCGCTCCCCGAAAACATGCCCTCAGGATTCAGGGTCCTAATAAAAATATTATTCTATTCTTGTGTTATTCTGTTAATTACTAGGTTAGGCTTAATCACAAAGTTAAGTAGCACTCCAGGACATAACAGAAGCCCTTGAGATAATTCCAAAACAGGCTTACAAAAATTTTGCTATTTTAAATTAGAAAAAACTCTCACCAATTCTGCTCCCATTTTTAGTAAAAAATATATAAGGCAATGCTGTTTTATCCTTCCAAGAGGGAAAAACAACCCCACAACCAAAAACATCTTTATCCTTCCAAGAGGATTTATGAAAAGTTATTTCATTATTTTGATCATCCCAAAAATTATTTGAATTGTTAATTATGGATAATTTTGTAGGAATATTATAAAAACCAATTCCAACATAACTACTGAAAAATAAATTATTTTAAATTTATTTTTGTAATTAACTAAATTTATGATAATGGTAATATCATCTATCTACTATAGTATGTTAGACATGACTCTCGAAACCCCTACAATTTCTTTGGCAAAAACCCCAATTTCCTGAAGTCATAACCCGACAAACCCCGATCCCCGCCACTCTCAACACTTGTCGGGAATCGGGGGTGTCGGGGGCGGGAGTGTCGGAGTTGGGGTTGCTAGCCTAATTTAAACTAGATACAAGACTGGGAGGACCATAAAATCTTGGCTTTCGATAACCGATATTTTTGTTCGAAATCTAGTCTCGGTTCGATCTCTAATTTATACCAACATATTTTTAAATTTTGCTACATTATTATTAAAAAAATTTTTAAATATTTTACGTTCGCTCCTTTGCTTCTTCTATCATAGTAACTTCAAAATAAAATAGAGAATAATTACAGCAATAACCCCAAGCTTTAGTAAATGGATGTTGGGCATAAAAACAAATAATTTTATTATTAACTTAAAAAATTTAAATTAATTTTTAATTTAAATTTCCAAAAACCATTTTCTTTAGCCAAATAATATTTAACTAAAATTCCCTCACAAATTCTAATATATCCTTTTTTGGCTTTGCAGGTGCCATTAGAAATTGCAGGTGCCATTAGAAATTGCTTTGCAGGTGCCATTAGAAATTGTTGAATTAATACATTTATTTTCACAACAAGTTAATTTCTCGCTAATTTCGTTAATTCTGTTTTTCTGTGATACATAACGCTTAAAATAATTTTTTAACTGAGTCAGTCTATACATACAAACTCACCACAAATTTTAAATCCAAAACTTCTTTTCTACAATTTGCTAAATCAGTAATTGAATTTTCCAGTTCTCTAGACAATTTAGTGTAGTTGTCAATAAAACTTAATTATTAGTAAATTTAATTGAAGGATTAAAACGCTAGAGAAAATTCTAACCCTGAGGTTTATTCTCCCGATAAAAAATTTAAAAAAAGCTTCGGCTTTATGGAAAACTCAGCTTAGATACCTGTCGGTAATTTGGTAAAATAACACACACCCGACTTAATTAATGTGACTTATATGTTCGATGCCTGGCAGCAGAGGTGAATAGGAGATGACGAAGGTACCGGAAATCGGAACTGTCGGAAATTGGAATTACGATTCACCTCTGTTTGGCAGCAAGTACTAAGTCCCGATGGGGAGTCTAATATAAGTTCATAAATACCGTATTTTCTCGATTAATTCCCCTGGGGAATTATTTTTCAACCCTTCCTTGGCATGGGGAATTAATCGAGTTGGGGGTGGAGAATTATTATTTCAACCCAACTCCAGCTTGGGGAATTAGTCGAGAAGGGGAATTAATCAAGGAAGGGGAACTAATCGAGAAAATACGGTATGTGGTCTTAATTACATCAAAAAATAATTTTAAAAACCCCTTCCAATATCCTTTATTTACCTTTTTTCATATGTATTTAATTTTTCTTTATTTAAATTATTCTCTTCTTTAATTTTGGCAATTTCAGCTTTAAAATTCTCCCTTTCCTTTAATAGCCTTACATTTTCTTTAATTAATTTTTGAATTTCTTCTCTCATTTTCCCCATCTTCTCCTCATTTTCCCTCTTCATTTCTTCCATTTTAACCCCATTCCCTTCAATTAAATCCATCTTTTCTTCAGCCAAATTTAACACAACTTTTTCCAATTTATTTTTTTCTTTTAAATTTCCTTCATTTTCCCCTCTCAATTTTTCATTTTCCCCCTTTAAATCCTTCAATTCCTCCTCCAAATTTAATTTTTCTTTAATTAATCCCTCATTCCCCTCACTCATTTCCCCATTTTCTTCTCTCAATTTTTTCACTTCTTTTAATCTAATTTCATTTTCTTTTTCCAATTTTTCCATTTTTGTTCTCAAAAAATCAACTTTAATTGAAAGACGGTTATTTTCTTCAATTATTTCCAAATTTTTATTTTTAATTTCTTCCAAATTATTTTGATATTCTTTTTTTATTTCCTCATTTTCGATGTTGGATTTTAATAAATATTCTGTTAAATCGTTGTTTCTGTTAATAATTCGTTTGTTTTCTTTTAATTGTTCCATCAATGAATTTTGCTTTAAATTTTAATTAATATATTGGGGATTTTGGAGATTTGAGAGGGAATTTACCGCCTTTTTAATATAATTTCAAAAAATTTCTGGTAAGAGTTTCCATGCGATTAAATAAAAATTTCCCTTGATGAAAACACTATGGCTGCGTTTACAATAGCATCCATGTTAGGCTTCTGTTGAGCGTTTTGTCGAGCGTCAAGCGCACCTATTTACAATTACGTTCGTGTCGAGAGTTGAGTGCCAAGCATTTTTGCTTTCAAAAAATCTAGAAAAACGCTTGACGCTCAACACACGATGCTTGACACGGATCCATTGTAAATGTAGTGTAACAAGCAACTGGCAACATAAAATACAGTATTAACTTGAATAATTACCCTGGGTACCCATTATTTCAACCTTTCGATAAAAGGGGGGTAATTATTCGTAGGAGGGTAGTGAAAAATGCGGTTTTTGTGGTTTAAATTTTTGTTTGGACCAAATTTTATCGGAATTTTCTTCCCACCTCCTTCCCCAATTTATTTAAAAATGTTTATTGACTACCAAATCACATTTATCCTTAATTAACTGCTTTTGCAAGTTTGTTTGATCCATTTCTTCAATTAGAGTTCTTTTACGTTTTCGATAATTATTTAAATCGAGTTGTGGATCAGCAGAATCATTAGAAGAATTTTCAGATGTAGTCGTAGTTGAATCATTCATTTTTAATAAAAAATAGTAGGATCCAATATTGGGTAAAGATATTTGTGAAATCTGGTGTAAACCTAGGTTTAGGGTTCTATTTTATTTTCCCCAAGACTAAGACTTCCCCAAGGCTTTCTTTTATCTTCCCCTTTATAGAGACGGCGGTAAATTTTAACTCTTCGGAAATTTCAAATTTTCCGAAGAGTTGGGGAGATTAGCTATTATAATACCCAATGGGTCTACGTGTTAAAATCTACGGTCCAATACTGTTCGTGTGTACCATAATTTTGGGTGAGTAGGGCCTTATAATCTCAAATTATTGCGAATAGATTTAGTGATTGGAGGTTCAAATTTCAGTAAAATACGAAATATCCTAAATTGAAATTTACCGCCGACATGTACAATATGGCCAGACTTTCTCCTTTTCTTAATTGCTCATGGCAAAGACTATTAAAAAATAATCTTTTCTTTATTGTCTCATATGCTACAGGGAAATATCTAGAGTGAAAATGAAGGAGGGTGAAAGTCTGACCTCTCTTAAAGTTTTTTTAAGAAGAAAGAGGGCAAACCCTAAACCTTGGTTTACCCGAAATTTGTCTGTTTATAAATTTTTAAAAATAAAAAAAACAAAAATAAAACAACAATTAACACATAAATTTACATAACAAAATTAATGTGAAAATAGAAAATAGTAAATGAAAAATAGCAAAAACTGAACATATCTTTTGCATCTCCTTCACCCCCCTCCTTTTTTACTATCTTTAACTGTAAACATTTTTACAAAGAATCAATATTATAGTTTGGTTGGGTATTTTTTTTGGGGGTTTTAAAGTATAAAGATTAATTAAGGTTGAATATGTTGAATACATTATTAGAAAACAATTCCTAAATTGGGAAAAATTGGCGCTATACGCAAATAAGGGATCATTTTGAGATAATTTCCATTTTTTCCCCATTTTTTAAAATGCTCAATTTTCCTTAATAGTTGAGTTTGTTGATGCTTCCGTAAGGAAAAATGGAGAAACGACTAACTTTTTTATAAACAAGTAGCTGTTTTAGCTCCTTACCTATGGTCTCCGTGGAAGGTTTTGCTGCTGCGGAGGAAGCCAGGCATGTCTAAGGCCGCGAAGATAGGAATATGTAGGTTTAGGTTACTAGTGCAGAACCCAGCGACCGGTGACTCCCCGCGAAACGCGTGCATAAGGTAAAAAAATTTAACAAAATCGAGACTTTAAAGCAAATAAAAATAAGCTTTTATTTAATATTTACTTCCAAATAGTGTTTAATAAAAATTTGAATAACAAATACATATGTAGGTAAATATTAAAAATAAAATAAATATTAGTTCTAATTTAAACAAATCAAATTAAAAATATTTCCTAAAATTTAAAATTCTTCAAATATTATGTTTGAAAGTATTGTAACTGAAAGGCTCGTTTTCGAGATCATTTCCAAAATTAATTTCAATAGAACAAGAGAGCAGTTTAAAATATGGACGTAAATTGTCGCTATCCTCTTTCAATGAAAATTTGTTGCCTAAATTAGAGAAAATATAGAAATTAAGTTTAAATTAGGGTAGCCCCCGTTACCCATCTCCCGAGGATTTTTTGGCAAAAACTCCGACCCGAATCCCGATATACTCTCTTCGGCAAATCCCGATACTTGAGACTCTCGACCCTAAATGTTAGGGGTGCCAACCTAGTTTAAATTGAAATTGTACAACTTGGTATTCTGAGTGGCTTAAAATTATCTACTGTTTTTTGACCCTCGTATTGGTTTTCTATCCCAGAATTTTTTCGAAAAAAATAACAACTCTCACCATTTTTTCTACCATTTTTTGTAAAAAATACATAAGGTAATATTTTCGAATCTTTCTTTGATGGGAAAACAACTCCACACCCAAAAACGTCCCCGTCCTTCCAAGGAGATTTTTGATATAATTCGGTTCCATTAAGATTTAAAGGACCATTTAAAATATACATTGATGGAGCTTCTTTATCGTAGAAACCAATTTTTGCATAACAACTGGTAATTATTTTAATCTTTCAAGTTTTTCTGTCAAGTTTTTAACCTTCTAATTGGGCCGAGATTTGGATAGTGCCCGGTTTTCGGCTAATAACCATGTAAACTTTCTCTACCGAATGAGCTGCTGGAGCTCTACCTACTTTTGCCGTCTCTTTTAAAGAAACGGACCCCGTGGATCTTCAATTTTCAGCCGGCCTGTATCTCGGTCCAATCAAATCAGATTTCATAGATCATGGTGTCAGACTCAGCTCAAATGAAGGAGAGACTTAGCTCCATGAGCTCTTTTGAATGCACTTTTATTTGCTTATTCTCGATCCACAGGCATCTCTGGGAAAAAAGAAAGGTACCGTTCGATTCGGCACCTTTTATTACCCTATAAAGAACGGAAAAGTACCACTCTCTTTTATAGATCTTAAACCCCCGCCTAAATCCACCGTCAAGTCCAGCTTATCTCCCATCTCCCTACAAAATTTTAACATTTGTTTAGCAATTTAAAACCCCTACAATTTGTCTTTCACATCTTCCAACATTGTAATTTCAAAATAAAATAGAGAATAGTGACAACAAAACCCTGCCGCTTTTGTAAATGAATTTTGTGCATAAAAACCAATTACATTGTTAACTTAAATGATTCTTTCTTAGAATTGATAAGAAAATAAAATTTTGTTTTTACTTTTATCGTCCACCGAATGATAGTTCACTATCCCATCATCCTGAACACGGATAAAGCTATGCCCGGAATTGCAAGTTCCTTCAGATAAATTTGAATTAATACATTTATTTCCACAACATGTAGAGTAATTGCTAATCTCGTTAATTCTGTTCTCGATAGACACATAACGCTGAAAGATTTTTATAAT